CAGCTCCAGCGGGACACCGCACTGAGCACCCGCACATTTCTCTGAACACACCTCACTGCCATCTGCTGAACCTGATCCCAAAACAGCACATATTACACACACGCATGCAGGACACAGCTCTGTACACACTGCTCATGAGTTAAAGCTGCACCTAACTGCAGGTTTGACAAACAATGCTTATAGGCAGGGTGGGAATTATACATCGGTCAACCTTTTTGGTGATGTTTCATGTGTAATACATGCTTCAGTTAATCAACTTCATGTTTTATTTTAATTACATTAATTTAAATATTTAATTTTTCTCATTTATTAATAAAACGCAGGGCAGTACGGTGGCTCAGTGGTCAGCACTGTGGCCTCACAGCAAAAAGGTCGCTGGTTCGAGTCCCGGCTGGGTCAGTGGGCATTTCTGTGTGGAGTTTGCATGTTCTCCCTGTGATGGCATGGGTTTCCTCCGGGTGCTCCGGTTTCCCCCACAGTCCAAACACATGCGCTATAGGGGAATAGATGATCTAAAATGTCCATAGTGTATGTGTGTGTGTGTGAATACGTGTGTATAGGTGTTTCTCAGTACAGGGTTGCAGCTGGAAGGGGATCTGCTGCATAAAACATATGCTAAAGTAGTTGACAGTTCATTCTGCTGTGGTGACCTCTGAAATAGAGGAGAATGAATGAACAATTGAATATTATTATTTAAGATACAGATCAGAGAGAACTATTTCTCACTATTAAAGGCCTGAACCGCCCATATATCTTGTTTTGATGGCCTTTAGGGGGGTCAGTCCCATCCCAACCCCCCCCCTGTAGTTCGCAACCTGGTTATGAATAGGCAAACAGGCAGTAAAAATGCATGGCAAGACACCATTTGTGAAGAAAAAAGTAATATCTATGTAGTCTGATGTTTGAGGAGATATAATATGGTCAATAGTGCCTGTTTGCAGTACAATGGATAGTTTGGGTTTGGGTTTATTTTACATAACAATCAAATGGTGTAAAGCCGTGGCTCTCAAACGTCACCAAGTACCACCTCAGAAATAAATAGCCTCTCCAAGTACCACCATAATGACCAGTGTTGAAATACTGTAGCGTAGTCGGCCTAATTACGCAGCTACAGCTCTGCACAGTTTACAAATGTGGCAGATTAATTCTTCTTATTATGAAAATGTATTGTTGTCAGCCACTTTAAACATATATAGTTTGAACATTAACACTGTACTGTGCCTACAGGTAAAACAAAAGATACAAAAATATCAACGTTTAAATTATAATGTGCTTTTAAAAGTTAATTATTCAGCGATTCCTCCGCATATTACTAGAAGGAAGCCTGCCTACCACCAGGGGCTCTGTTATGACGGCCCATGTGTAAAGTGTAAAGTGCAGGGCGCAAAAGCAATTAGGGTGTGTCAGAATCCACTTTTGCTAATTTAAGGACGGAAAAATCCGCTTTGCGCCGTGGCGCCTGGTCTAAAAGGGTTGAGCTTATTCTCTTAATGAGTTCTGGGTGTGTTTTGAGAATAAACCAATCAGAATCTCATCTCCCATTCCCTTTCAGAGCCAGTTGTGCAGTGTAATAGCGCATTTGCTATTTACATGACGACTTCGTTAGTGGAAAAACTGAGCATTTCACTAGCAAGAAAACAGTTAAACAGAGCATCTGCAGCAGGAGAATGAGAGATGAACCTTCTCATTATTTACTTTCACTTTCACTCTTGTGGATAGGGAAACTTCTTGTACGCACAGACATCCATTAGCCTATAAATAATTAATTTTGTTTATTAAGCACAAAGATTTGTTTCAAAACTATTTCTAAATTCAGTTCTAATTTCCAGCAAACGAATAAATGAACAATAATAACGAAGTGTGAACAAAAAGCTGAGTTATATCCAAATACACATGCTGTGCCCCATATGGTCTAAAAC